AAGTGTACCTCTGGTGCAAATTACTGACCTCTGTCATCATTTTAGGTGGGGGAACTTGCACAATCGGTGGCTGACTAAATACTTTTTTGCCCCACTGTAAGTAAAAGGAAAAAAACAGCGGCCGACAGGCTGTAAACAGCAGTAGACTTGTGCACAACAAACTAACGAATAATGAAGAAAACAGATTTTTAGACGGGAAACTGTCCTTGAAGTACTGAGAGAGAGAGAGCTGTGCATGAAGTGTGATTTTATCCTGGTGGAAGCAAAACAGCAAAAGTCAGAGTGAGTTCATGACGATGTTTATGTGAAGCGCAGTTTGGATCTTCTTTTGCTGCCGGTTCAGTCAATATTGTTTGGAGAGAGATAAAACCTGCAGCTTTTGAATCTAGAGCAAAAAGGGCGTGAACACAAAGTAGTGATGTGCGATACCACTGATTTCCTTTCCGATCCAATACCAAGTAAAATTCAGGGTGGTATATCGACGATACTGATCCGATACCGATACTTTGTACAAAATCTTTAATCTTTTATTGTATCTCAAATTATAGCATCATAATGATTACAGGACATCAGGTTACTTGTTCTTATCACTTAATAATGCAGAGTTCATCATATGGAAATTTTAAAAAAATGAAGTTGTGCACTATTTGAGCATGTTGCCTGCCTGCAGCACTAAAGGACTCCATGGAAGACGTCTGTCTCGCCCTAGCAGCACCTGTCCCTGTCCACTACTCCACTTCAGTTCGCCTCAACATACGCTCGTTATATTCTGTGATATGATTTACTCTGAGGTGTTTGACAAGGTCAGTGGTGTTGCCACAACACCTCACTGTCTTACCACATGTATCGCAAACCACGTCTCGGCTGTTTGTGGATGCAAAATACGTGAGCACATGACTCCAATTACACTCAGCTACTGTTGTGAGTGCGCACGCAAAGGGGCTGCGACACAGTTATACAGCTGTATTTCACACATGACTATGGAAGGCGGAAGAGGAAGTAGTTCCTTCCAATGTAGACAATCCGAATGTTATAGTTTCTTTCCACTGTGTTAATGATAAACTACAATTTAACCCAAAATTATTAAAATATCGATATTTTAATGTGAGAATCGATTCTAGAACATAAATGACTGGTATCGGAAGAATCGATATTTCAGGATCGATCCGCACATCACTGACACAAAGCTCGACCCGCCGAAACATCAGAATCAGCGAGCTGTCGGCTTTCAGCCCCGACCGTGTCCGTGCCGTCGGTGAGAAAGGCGACATTTCATTGATCCTGATGCGTCGGCGGGTTGAGCTTTGTGTTTACGTCTTTGTGCAGAATCCGTGTTCCTGCTCTCAGTTACTGCTTTAGCTGTTTGATGGTTGTTGGAATTTTGTGAGCTTTAACCTGAGATTCTGGCAT